AGGCTATCAAGACCATGCATTTGCCAACAGATGTACCTAATTTGTGTTCCTTCTTGAGGATGGTTAGTCATCATGGTGTTTCTCCTACAGATTCGCATCGCTTCCGTGCCCCTCTGAATTGACCACTGATAAAGGATACCAAACGGGTATGGTCAACAGAATGCCGAGAAACATTCCTAAAACTAAAACAGCTGCTAGCATCAAACATTCTGCATACACCCTGTGATCCACATCTTCCAACTGTGGTCGCAGAAGATACGTCAAATTATGAAATGAGAGCAGTGGTTTCATATACCTACCCTGACGGGTGTGAGAAGGCAATCGCTCACACTGCGAAATCTCTGACTATGGCGGTAGGAAAATACAGTCAGATAGAGAATGAAGCCCGCTTCATTATTTTAGCCACCTCTTTCTGTATCTATCAATTTAACTACTCCTGTGGAGCACGTTATATTGGCAGATGTTCTAGGAATTTATATGTTCGGGCTCGTGAGCACCTCCCAGTGTGGTTAAGCAAAGGTGTAGTCAAAACGGTTAACAGCTTCTTTTTAGCCCATTTAATCCAGACAGGACATACAGTCAACATGAAGCAACCTTTCGCGACAATATATCGTGTTAACAGCAGTCTACCTAATTCCGTCAAGCTGAGAATCTTACAGACGGCTTAAGTAATTGATATTCGGATCAAAAAGTAAGAGCTTTGCATCCAAAAGAAATATGTTCAGCCGCTCCTTTTACCCTGGCCAACTAGTTAACGTGATGACGCAATGTGATTAATGTTCATTTTTATGTCCTAAACTTATTATTGTTATCCGTACTATTATTACTATCTTTACCATTATTGTCATTATTGTTATTAGACTTGACAACCTTTTTGAGAAATTTATTCAGCATCCTCCCCTATCTACTATATATTACCTAATTCATATTATTCTACATATTACGTAATTTCTGATTTTTATTCCATTATTCTCTCTCTCACCCCATGTTGACCATATTTATTCCGATTATTTACCGCACAATTTCATTTCACTTATAAACTGATTTAAGTTAACACTTCATATTGGTCAGCCCCAACATTAACGGTTTGATTTGATTTTATATCACAAACAACTCTTGATTCACATATTACAATTATAACTGACCTACTCTGCCTTAAATCTGGTCAATTTTATAGATTAATTTGGATATGAGATAATTGCAGAACCTGATGAGAAGTTATTGAAAAGAATATTCTTCGTTCATATGTTTTTGTGTTTTAAATTACAATTCCCTGACGCTTTATAGAACATAAAAGAAAATGGATTATTCAGCATTAGTGCGTATGGTAAAAGTTCTTTAACAAACCAACACAGAAATTTATTGAGCTTTTCACTGGTTCATTACAAAAGAAACCTAGTTAAATGTTCAGCAAGTAGAGCTAAGAAGATCCGCTCAGATGACACAGAAAATAAGGAGTTAGAGGTCATTCATAATATGTTAATCGAATGGGTTATCTACAAGGTTTCCTGAGGAAACATTTGCATATAACGGGCAGAAAAGTAATGAAATCGACAGCGAATAAGAAACCACTCTTCTTGAAGTAACAATTCAACGTAGATATAGTCACCAATGTACCAGAAAATAGAATGACTAACGTAATAGAAACGACTTTAAACACAGCCTACTTCTGTCTATTGTTTTCTAGTCAGCCTCTGATGATTCTTCAACTAAAGGAAAGTTTACTGAAATTTGCTACATCTATTTGCATCCACGAATTCAGCTGTTACTGTGGAGGAAGATCAATCAGTCGTACAACCAGACAACAAATTAGTGAACACCTCCCAACGTGGCTGGCAAAAGGTGCGATCAAAACAATACACAGCTTCATTCTGTCAAACATGATGGTTAGCAGTCATGTATTCCATGAAAATAGATCTTTTAATGCAATTCATCATTTACTTATAACGTTTCCTTATGGAGTTCGATCTCTTCTCTTTCAGTCAGCAGAAGCTATGGGGATTCCAGGCAACAATCTAGGTCTTTGTGTTCATAAGTAATTTGTTACACCCTCATCTCTTCCTTGGCCGAATTAGCCTTAACAAACGATTTTATGTATCATTATTTTCCGTGCTCTTTGTTCGTTTATTTTTCCTCACCTTTTTTTAAACAAATATTTCACTGTCTAACTATCTGAACACTCATCACTACGTATTTTACTTTACTTCATGTATATTGATTGTTTAGAACTTAACACTGATGTTTTAGGACGGCAGTTGATCAGTCATTTTTGGCATATGTGGATCTTGTGCGGATTGCCTTGATATTTGATACAGAGAAGGATTGTGTATAGCAATGAAATCCAGGACATGTGTTTCGTTCCATATGGGACTGGTCAGCTGGATGTTATCAGGTAGTTTCAATAAATTCTAATGGATGTTATTATAGTGTCCATTTTTGTAAGTCTGTTACCTACTTCCTATCATAAACATCGATTCATACCTTTTTTATTACTATCACAATTACTATACTTTTCATTACACCATCAACTTGTATTTCTTGAATATTATGTTTATTTATACAATACAAAATGATAGGAGAAATATGAAGTGTTTGGATTTTTCGTAAAAGTATTCAATTCCCTTTGTTTAATCACAATGTCATAAAAAGAGAAACCTTAGCAGCTAGAACAACTTTAGCAGATGGCTAAACTTTTTCGAAATGTAAATAAAACGTTTATGAATAACTTCAGAAGTGATGTATTTAGCTTGTCGGTGATTTGTGTTGCACAATCAAATTTTTGCTACAACTAATAATTTAATTCTAATGCATAAGCTTTTCGTAAAATATAGCAATGATTCATACAAAAAGAACTATGATTAAATTGCTATAGTTGATTTGATACACATTGTGTGGTATGAACAGTATGTTATTATTGTTTAATTTTTTCAATGTATATTATGATTTACATATTTACTTTACTTATAAAATGTAACATTATGTCACAGTATGAAATTTTATTAACTTGGCTTTGTGATCAAACAAAGCAACACAAGAATTTTGACAGTAATGTAATTTTTAACAGTTAATCTAGTAACCCGAACGTTCATTACCTACTTACTTACGCCTGTTACTAATGGTGAAGGAGCATAGGCCGTTCAGCAGCATTCTCCATCCAATCCTGTCCTTGGAAATCCTTTCCAGTTCTTATTCATCCTTTTCATATCTGATTCTAGTTCCCGACGTAATATGTTCTTTGACCTTCCTCTTTACCGCTTCCCTTCACGATTCCAAGTCTCGTGATGCAGTTTGATGATTTCCTCAACGAGTGTCCTATCCATTTCCATCGTCTTTTTCCAATTTACTCTTCAGCTGGAAGCTGGCTTGTTCTCTGCCACAAAAGGCTGTTGCTGATGGTATCCGGCCAATGGATGTTGAGTATCTTGCGAAGACAGCTATTTATAAATACTTGTACCTTCTTCATGGTGGTTGTTGTAGTTCTCCAACTTTCAGCTCCATACAGTAGAACTGCCTTGACGTTGGTATTGAAGATTCTCACTTTGATATTGATTGAAAGTTGTTTTGAGTTCCATATGTTCTTCAATTGTAGGAATGCGACCCTTGCTTTGCCAATCCTTGCCTTTACGTCTGCATCTGAGCCTCCTTGTTCATCGATTATGCTTCCCAGGTATGTGAACGATTCTACATCTTCCAGAGTTTCGCCATCAAGAGTGATTGGATTGGTGTTCCTCGTGTTGTATTTGAGGACCTTGGTTTTCCTCTTGTGTATGTTGAGGCCTACTGATGCAGAGACTGCTTCTACACTGGCTGTCTTCAACTGCATTTGTTCGTGTGCATGGGATTGTATGGCTAGGTCACCAATGAAGTTCAAATCGTCTAATTGGTCCTGAGCTGTCTGTAGAATCCAAACTACGGTTTGGATAGATGAATAGCCGTCCAGGTACGTCAGACACGCGCCCTTGCCCGTCAAATCAAAACAAGTAATCGGGTAAATAGCGGTTCTATAATTCATCATAAATTTAAATGTAAATCGTTACCTAAACAAATATTACCACCCGGCTACTCAACCAATAATTGTTCAATCAATCAAATCTAAACTACATAAAATAAAGTTGATAAAAGATGTGGGAAAATTACCAGTCACAACAAATAAACTCTATTCTATCCTGACTGGATAGATCACACACAAAAGGAGGAGCAAATCAATATGGCTGCCGCCAAGAACAAGTGTCAAGTAAAACAACATGGATACAGTTCGGGAGGAAGCACAAAAACTTAGTGAAGGTGTAATAAAAAATAAAAACTATGATAAAATACAAATATTAACAATCCAAACGTAATCAAAAAACTAACAATGTGCAAATAATGGAATCAATAGGAACAAAGTGCAAGTATATACATGGAGGGATTTTCACAAACACACGAGGCATTCAAAATAGATCTTACACCGGCCCCCAAAATCCCTCCATATCACACAAGCTACCTTGATGCCTATGGTCATGGTTCATTATGTAGCATATGACACTAGAGGAACGAGTAGGACTTACAGCAGTACGCCTACTCGACCTACTTACATTGACATGGGAGAAATTAATTCGACCCTTCAAGGAGACATAATCTACGTATATCTCTTCTGACTAATCCGCCGTTCGTACGAACAACTACCGTTCTAACTCTTCCGTCGTCATCTATTTCACAATCTTCAACTACTCCTAAGGGCCACTTTCCACGGGTCGATATGTCAGAAGCCACGATTACTACATCTCCTTTCTGAAAATTACGGTGTTCAACTAACCATTTCTGACGTTTTTGTAGGGACGGTAAATACTCTCTCAACCATCTTTTCCAAAACACATTAGCAAGATGATTAACCTGTTTCCAACGTTTGTCGTATTTATCTCTGATGCTGCCTTCTTCAACTGTTCCGTCACATTCTCTCAATAATAACAGACTATTCGGCGACAAGGCTAGTTTATCGTTAGCATCTTGGACGACCGCAGTTAAGGGACGATCGTTCAATATCCTTTCAATTTCAATCAAATAAGTGCTTAAGGCCTCATCGGTTAAAGTCTGCTCTCTAGTTATCAACAATAACAGTCGGCGTAAAGACCTAATCATTCTTTCCCAGACTCCATCCCTGTGGCTGGAGGAGGGGAGGTTAAAATGCCACTGAATCTGCCTCGCTGACAGTTCTTTGTCTATTTTCTGTTGATTCAACTGTTGCACAAATCTCCTTAATTCAGAGACCGCACCCACGAAATTTGACCCATTGTCATTGTAAATTTCGGCAGGCTTCCCTCTTCTTCCAATAAAACGTAACAGTGCTATTATAAACGAATCAGTATTCAAACTATATGCCAGTTCAATATGTACTGCTCGGGTTTGAAAGCAAGTGAATATACATCCATATCTTTTTTCCAATGATCTTCCTCTCTTGACAACAAAGGGTCCAAAGTAGTCTACTCCCACGGCTGAGAAGCTATACCATCCTGGTTGAACTCTACAAGCTGGAAGCGGCGCCATCAATTGCCGTCCTGTATTCATCGTAAACCGCCGGCATGTCAAGCACTTTCCTATCACTCTCTTAACCGTGCTGGTTGCCTTCATTATCCAATACCATTTTCGAATTATAGCCAATACTTGGGACGTTCCTGTGTGCCCTTGTTCTAGTTGTTTTTGTAAGCCTTCTAAAGATATTCCATTGATGACATCTACTGGATCGACTGAATTACCCAAAGATTTACTCATTTTTTTGCCATGAGCATCACGAACCATAGCATGTAAATAGACCGTATGAAATGGTAATTGTCCCATTAATTTCAAACCAATCATAACCATACGTGCAACCAAGAAAAATATAATATCATGCCCAGTTTCTAATAAACTACCAGGATAATAAACCTTTAAATCTGGTATTTGTTCAGGCCACCCAAATCCAGATAATAGAAATAATTGTGAAGAGAACCACGTATCTAATACATCATCATCTTGGTTTAAAGTTAAGTTATCTGGTGAACAATGGAAATTATCACAGGCCTTTTGAAGCGCTTCTTCGATTGTATGACCAACTACCCATGAATTATGATCTGTAGGATCTAAAACTTCTAAATTATCTACGCCAGGACGTCGAATCGAAACATGATAAGCAGGAATATGATGTCCCCACCATAATTGTCGAGAAATACACCAATCCTGACAATCTTTAAGCCAATTATTCCATGTACGAATATGGAAACTATGAATAATACGTGAGCGGCCTTCAGATACCTCCTTCATTGCCGCATTAGCCATGGCCTTACAACGTAGGTACCATTGAGGTTTCAACAATGGCTCAACAATATCTTTGCTTTGAGAACACATCGGTACAACCACAGGATTATCTTTCTCACCTCTATACACGCCTAATTCCACAAGAGCTTTCTGGACAACATCTCGAGCAACGAATCTTTGGAGTCCTGCAAATCTGGGACCTGTTTGACGCATAAATTTTACCCAATTTGGCCACGCGGACTTATATGGCTCGTTGAGAGGCTGATCCCAGCCTATTTGGGACTTACATAATTTTTGCAAGAGGACCTTGGCAGGAAGACAGACTGGAGCAATTAAACCCAAAGGATCGAACAGAGAAGAAACTATAAATAGAATCCCTTTCATATTCAGAGGCCTTTCAATACCATTTGTATACTTGATATACAGAATGTCATCTTTCAACAATCTACGCTTCAAACTCTGTAGTCTACCGTTTGCCACTTCATAATTCCCCCCTCCCATATTTGGGTGCACCTTCCATGGTATAGGGACTCCAAAATGACCATTTACGAAGCGTGTGCCACCTTCCACAATACTTATAGCCGTCTTGTCGTCTACTGATAATGATTTATCATTTGAATAAGCGTCGGAAAACTCTGAGTCATAAAACTTACGTATCTCGTTCTCTAATGTCTGTATCTTACTGGTATGATTAACAATTCTTTTCCTATATTCCGGGTACGATGCAGGTCCGAAGACCGTCCACCCCAGCAACGTCTTTACAGCGTACGGGTTTTTTCTTCCACCCAACCGCTGATCTAACACCCAGTGTGCTTCGGGCACGTCGCAACCAATCAACAGCAGAACTTCTTCAGAGTCTAAGTGATCTATTGGTACATCCCTTAAATGTGGCCACTTAACTAGGTTGTTCACTGCCGACCTTGTTGGCTTATGACCCGGTACACTTGCCGCAATCAGAGCTCCTTCGATCGTCACATGTTCGGACCGATCTAAAGAATATACCTCGAAAGGAGTTCTTGTGGCCGTCATCGTCCTATTACCACTCACAGTCCCTACTACCACTGACGCTCGGTCTTCCTTCAGTCCGAGATGCCTCAAACAGCTCGATTTTATCAACGTCACATCAGACCCGTTATCCAACAAGGCATAACCCACCATTTCGGCATTTCCCGCCACCAGCCGTACGGGAATCATTCCTAAGCACACTTGGCTACTTAGAGATTTAGTAAATCCACAGCAATTCTGGGTTTCAGACTTATTTACATCGTTGCTTGCCGTGTTAGTGTGCAGCAGAGCGTGATGTTTCTTCTCACAACTGTCAACATTACAGAGCCTTGACATCTTGCATTCATTGACCTTATGTCCTTGTCGAAGACAAACAAAACAGATACCCTTGCTTTTAGCGTGGGACCATCGTTCTTGAACTGTAAGCGCTAAGAACTGTGGACACTTATAAATAGCATGGTCGTAGGAACACATACTGCATTTAGTTTTCGCTGTCGAACTATTCCCCTGCTCTGATTGCACGTGACAATTCGTCTTTACGTTTGGTCCTTTTCTTGAACGATTCGCTAACCGTCCAAATCTACTACAAGCTACTCTCGCACGCGAAGCGATAAACTGAGTGAGTTCGTGAAACGTCGGCTCTCTGTCATCTTCTGTCAATTTATCCACCCAGTCCGCCCATTGGGCTTGCATAGGTTGAGGCAAGAGTCTCACTATTCTTTCCAAAGTAACTAAAGAATTTAGATCAGAGGTATAATTCATCTGTTCCAAGACCATAGCACAGTTTTCCATTTTAATAGCCAAGTTTGATAATTCCTCCGCGTCAGTATAGTCAAAATTTACAGCATTGAATAAGTCTTCTAATGTTTCCCGAGCGATTACGTGAGACTGTCCGAACAAACGTTTTAAGATTTCCCTTGCTCTCTTGTAACCCGAAGATGCTTCCATCATGACACAACCCTCAATAGCTGCTTTCGCCTTACCCTTACAGTAGTGAATTAAATAGAGCAAACGTTGGCTATCATCAGTGACTCTTGATGCTACATAGGTCTCGAATTGCCTTATAAACTTCCAATAACCTCTTGCCTGACCATCGAAATAACTCAATTCAACCTTTGGTAGTTCTAGACCAACAACAGGCGTTATGGGCAAAACGCTCTTTCCTGTTAATTCATGCCCTTGCTTCTCCTTTAAACTAAGATTTTTTACGTCATCTGTCATCGAATTAAGACTAGAGTCACTTCCATGATAATCAACCCCATTCGAGTCTGAACCATGACACTTAAGGACATCAAAAGGTACTTGCTTGATAATAAGGGATTCTTCATTAACATCAACGAACTTTGAGCTTGATTTCCTTCGACGATTAGTTGGCATCATAAACGAAATGACCAGATATTTCCAGAAACGATAATCGAAATCCGAGAACGATTGCCAAACGACTTTGATCAATTAATATTTGTTTAGAACTGTAGAATCCAAACTACGGTTTGGATAGATGAATAGCCGTCCAGGTACGTCAGACACGCGCCCTTGCCCGTCAAAATCAAAACAAGTAATCGGGTAAATAGCGGTTCTATAATTCATCATAAATTTAAATGTAAATCGTTACCTAAACAAATATTACCACCCGGCTACTCAACCAATAATTGTTCAATCAATCAAATCTAAACTACATAAAATAAAGTTGATAAAAGATGTGGGAAAATTACCAGTCACAACAAATAAACTCTATTCTATCCTGACTGGATAGATCACACACAAAAGGAGGAGCAAATCAATATGGCTGCCGCCAAGAACAAGTGTCAAGTAAAACAACATGGATACAGTTCGGGAGGAAGCACAAAAACTTAGTGAAGGTGTAATAAAAAATAAAAACTATGATAAAATACAAATATTAACAATCCAAACGTAATCAAAAAACTAACAATGTGCAAATAATGGAATCAATAGGAACAAAGTGCAAGTATATACATGGAGGGATTTTCACAAACACACGAGGCATTCAAAATAGATCTTACACTGTCCATTGTAAGCCGTGTTTTCGCTCAGATGTCGAGGTCTTCATAGTTCAGTCGACCACCAGAAGATAGAGGAAGCGAGAGAGTAGACAACCTTATCTTACTCCGGTCCTCACCTGGAATACATCTGTCAGCTGTCCTTGATGCACGAATTTGCACTGTGGTCCGTCGTATGAGTTCCGAATAATGCTGACAATCTTTTCAGGAACTCCATAATATTGAAGAAGTTTCCTTAATGTTCTCCCATCTACACTGTCGAACGCCTTTTCATCATCGATGAAGTTGATGTATAGTGACGAGTTCCACTCAACTGATTGATCGACGATGATCCGCAATGTCGCAATTCGGTCGTTGCACGACCGATCCTTACGGAATCTAGCTTGTTGATCCCGAAGTTGGGCGTCTACTGCGTCTTTTATCCGGTTCAGTAACACTCTGTTAAAGAATTTCCCTGGTACTGACAGTAGTGTGATACCTCTGTAGTTTTAACATTTGCTTGGATCTCCTTTCTTTGAAATTTTGATAAGGTGTCCTTCTTTTCAGTCAATCGGCACTTGTTCCTCCTCCCAAATCTTCTTGAATAGAAGGCGAAGCATGTTTGTAGTTACTTCGATGTCTGACTTTATTGCTTCAGCTGGTATATTGTTGGTTCCTGCTGCTTTCTCGCTCTTGATTTGTCTGATCGTCATTCTGATTTCTTCCGTCGTTGGTGGATTGAGATCTATAGGAAGATCTGTGTGTGGTACTACGATGTCCGGTGGATTCATTGGAGCCGGCCTATTCAGGAGTTCCTCGAAGTACTCTACCCATCTGTTCCGCTGGTCTTGAGTTTCAGTGATTGGCCTGGCTTCTTTGTCCTTGACAGGTCTCTCTGATTTACTATATCTCCGTGCTAGTTTATTCGTTGTATCATAAAGCTGTTTCATATTTCCTTTTGTTGCAGCTTTCTCCGCCGTCGTTGCTACTTTTTCCACGTATTTCTGTTTGTCGGTTTTAATGCTCGTCCTCACTTGCTTGTTTGCTTCTATATACTCAGCTTGTGCTTGGATTTTCTCTGCTCGTGTTCGGTTGTTGTTAATTGCTCTCCTCTTGTTCTTCTTTTCTTTGATCCTGTCCAGTGTTTCTATACAGATCCATTCCTCATGATGATGCTTCTTGAGACCCAAAACCTCTTGACACGTTAAAGTTAGCGCTTCTTTGATACCTTTCCAGTTGTCCTTCATGACAGTTTCTTCTTCCTTCAGTAGATCCTGTAAGGCTTGGAACCTGTTGTTGAAAGCTACCTTGAATTTATTAATAGGCTGTTAGAAGGCTGTATTGAACCTTTGCAGTGCTGTTTGTCCAGTTCTTCTCTAGCTTCAGTTATAAATTGGCCACAACAGGGTGGTGATCTGAAGCTATGTGGGCTCCTCTCCTGCTTCTCACATCTTCCATTGTTCTTCGGAACATTTTATTGATGCAAATATGATCTATCTGGTTCTCTGTGGTGCGATCTGATGAAATCCATGTAGCTTTGCGTATACGTTTGTGTGGAAATATTGTGCTGCCTATGACCAATTTGTTGAATGCGCATAGATTTACAAATCTAGGTGTTTGTAATCAATCGTACATCTTCTTTTCAAATTCATCCTCAGTCTGTCTGGCATTGTATTGGTTAAAGATTCTGTATTATCTAGAATGTGTTCATCAACATTGGAATTAACAACCGAGATTGGAACTGACTCACCTGGTTCTTGAAATTGTATTTGATCAACATGTCGACTGTGTGTACTTAAGTCATTGATGTCTAGAACTCGCACCATCGATTTTCGGAGATTCTTCAGAACAATACCCGTAGATGGTCGGAGATCATTTCCTCAATAGTATGTAACTTCTGCAGACTCCAAACATCTCAGATACGATCGAAGAATTTTTCCTTTCAATAGCTTCTCTGGAGTCTCCTTCGTCACCGAATGTCTGGCATTTCTATATTGCAATAGACAGTATCTACTCCTCTCTTCAGCTCACTGAATGTTGAGGCAGCTATAGAATCATTAGTAGTCTCTAATGTTATGACAAAATTCTCTGCCTGACCATTAGAACACGGATGTCTGGGGACAGTAAACAGATGTTTGCACCCTATACCGTTCAACCAGGTAACGACTGCATCTGCAGCAAAATGAGAGCCATTATCAGTCACTAACACCATAGGAACCCTTTCTCGATTAAACACCTTTCTTAATGCTTGGATTGTGAAATCAGAATTTGGTGAAGTTGTGAAAAAACTTCAGGCCACTTTGAAAAAGAATCAATAACTACTAGTGCATAGTATTTACCAAGAAACGGACCACTATAGACAGAATGAATTCTCTGCCAGGCCTCGGACGATACTGGCCATGGCGTCCACTTCAAAGGATGACGTTTCAACTGATGACATTTCTCACAATTGTTTGCCGTACGCCATATATCTGCATTCATCTCTGGCCACCAACATGTGAGCCTTGCCAAGGACTTCATTTTCTCAACACCTAAATGACCACTTTCAACACTACATCGAAGGTCGTGAATTCACTCTTTTCACTGACCATAAACCACTCACTTTCCCCGTGAGTCTCGACAACTGGACTACATTTCGCAGTTTACTTCAGACATTCAACACACATCTGGAGCAAACAATGTAGTCGCAGACGGTTTGTCTCGCATAACTTCCTTGAACAGTTTCCAAGGAATCGACCTTCTCAAACTCATCCAGCTTCAAAAAGAAGACACTGATCTTCAGCACGAGTTGTCATCTACAACCCTCAAACTACGCATCAAACAGGTGGGAACAAGTAAAAAACCCTATTTTGTGACACATCTACAGGTAGGGATCGCCCAATCGTCCCGAAACATTATCGACACAATGTCTTCAAAACATTGCACAAACTTTCTCACTCAGGCGTTCGTGCAACCATCAAGCTCATAGCTGAACTGTCTTGTTGGCCTGGCATGAATAGACACGTGAGGGAGTGAGCACGTTCCTGTGTAAGGTTATCAGACACAATAAATGTCCCTTAGGCTCATTTAAAACTTTCGATGCTCGTTTTGACCATGTTCATCTGGATTTGGTAGGATCTTTACCAGATCCAAATAAATAATCTTATCTCTTAACCTGCGTAGACCATTTCACTCGATGGCCAGAAGCAGTGCCTATCAAGGACATTACTGCTGAAACAGTGTCGCGCACCTTCGTTGAACGATGGGTAGCAAACTTCGGTTGCCTTTCAACGATCACTATAGACCGCGGATGCCACTTCGAATCCGAACTTTTCCGTTGTCTGACGACACTTTTAGGAGTCACTCCCTTCCGAACGACTGCCTACCACCCACAAGCAAACGGGTTGGTAGAACGCTTTCACCGACAACTTTAAGCTTCACTATCAGCTGCAAACGTTTCACAGTGGGCCGACGCTCTTCCACTCGTTTTACTAGGTATCCGCAATGTGGTGAAAGCTGACATTGGATATAATGCGGCTCAACTCGTTTATGGAACGACGCTTCGACTTCCAGGAGAATTCGTGGATCTTTCATCCTCTTCAACGAACATGGATCTAACCTCCTACACGAACAGGCTTACAAACGCAATACGTTCAGTTAAACCTGCTTCCACTCGACCTCAATCAACTGATGTTTTCGTCCAACCTGACATACGATATAGTACACACGTTTTCGTTCGTCGAGTCTCTCATCGACGACCATTTGAATCAGCATACGAAGGATGTTTCAAAGTTCATCAACGTGAATCTAAGTACTATATAGTCGATAAGAATGGAACCAACGATAGCATCAGCATCGATTGCTTAAAAGCAGCGTATTTAGAAGGAAATCTTATTCACGTCGATTTCCCGTCGGTAAAATCTCACAACACGACTCCTACGCTTATAATACCTCAACCGACAGGCAACACAC